TACAGCCTTCAGTATAGATTACATCTTAGCATGAAAAAAAGAAAGGTCCTCACTACAGGACCAACAGCCAACATTATAAATGGAAAAAGGATTATTGTTTTTTTGGTTGGGTCCAACACATAGCTGACACTTGAGCAAATTTTCAAGGCAGTTAATCACAGGCGAAGAGATTGCCCATCCTATTCTCGCAGAGCTGCAGGTGAATGAGAATCACATGCCTTTGGCATTACAGTGCAGTTTCTTACCACTAGGCCAACAGTTGAAGCTGTTATTTCATCTTCCTTGGATCAGCAGTCAGCACACTTGGTACCAGCTGTCAATACATCAGAATACATACTGAATTGGGTGATTCTGTTGTCAAGGACCTCTCCAGAATGCTGAAGAACAGTGAAGCCAGTTTGAAGACTGAGGTGCACCTGATTTAGGCCATGATCTTCTCAGTCATCAGAGAGCTGAGCAATGAATAAGGATGTCAGAAGAAGAATCAGTGCCTATGAGTTGTGGTGTTGGAGAAGAGAACTTAATATCCAATGGACTTCCAAAAGAACAAACAGATGTGTCTTGGGAAAAGTACTGTCAGAGTACTCTTTGGAGGCAAAGATGATTGATTCTCATCTTTATACTTTGTACTTGTAGCTAGGCAAGGCTATTCCTTGGAAAGATGGAAGGTCAGCAAAGGAGAAGACCCCAAATGAATGGATTGACACAGTGACTTTAGGAAGACTCAAGTGTGTTAAATAATGATCAGGATGGCACAAGATAGGCACAGTTGGGTCAGTTGTGTATGGGATCACTTATGAGTCAGACTTAACAGCACCTAGTAACAACAGTAGTGCCTAGGAGTGATTTCAGTGAAGCTAAAACTGTTAGCTGGTGCTAGAATTCTGAATTAGCAGAAAATTAATTACCTCTTCCCCTTTTCTACAATTGCAAAGGAAACTGATTCACTCACCATTTTACATAAAATTACTATGTATATTTTTTCTCTTCTGAACTGTTTTTCTTCCAGAATTTATATTAGCGAGGTTGTTAGAAATATTATTAGTACAAGGAAGTCCTTTTATCTTATAAATTACACATAGTGTGTTTTGAGTTTGATAAGAATTCCTGCATTCTTGGACTTAGAGCTTTGCTGGACACAGTGGTGGGCACTGTTGATTTGGAGTGTCATTGTCTGTCCCATGGCATAGAAGCAGCTGCCACTCATGGTGGCCATTGACCACCATGTCCAGTATGAGCTGCAAGTCTCCTGTCTTGTTCAAAAGTTGATGGAGTTAAAGATTTATGGAACCTTCTGTTTTTAAGTATTTTATATTTTCTAAACAAATCTGGACCAGTAGAACCCTTCATTGTTTAATGTTACCCTTGTGCCACCAATTCGAGTTTTACATTTTGTCCACTCCTAAAGTCTTTCAATGTTAAAAAAATTTTTAGACATTTAATTATTTTCTCCCTCTTCCAAAATTAAACTCTCATAGCCATAAAAAGTAAATTTTGTCTCTACCTAAGCACTCTGTTTATGTGAGCATACATGCATGCATGTGTTGCAAACAGCATTGGGAAATTTTATAAAATTCCAAAGGTGACCTGTTTTATTACAAGGAAAAAACCTTAAACTATATTTACTGTCTTTCAGAGGCATAAATATGAAGGACGACCTACAGTAAATTAGACCATTACCTGTCACTAACTATGACCTTTTGAAAATTATCATTGTAAATTAGTACTATACTTCATCTTATAAAATTTGAGTGTTGATTATCATTTCACAAGTTTGAGTGTAAATGAAGCAAGTTAAATAGAATGCTTATTACTGAGCATAATTACAGATCATTTAATGTTAACTTCTGTCTTAAAGAATTTTTGCATTTAACCTTTACCCAAGCCACTTTGCTCCAATTCTTAGACCATTGATTATCTTTTCCCAATTGAAAGTTTGTAGCCATCATTTATCTCCAGAGTAGATACCTGAAACTGCTTCTGGCCAATAGCCTGTTTTACTACATAGAGGTTAATAATGTTTCTTCACATTTTTCAAATAGTTAAAAGTATGTACTAGCCTTTGCTTCTCAGAGGCTAAGATTTACTTTCTGGCACTATAAACCTTTACAGAAGGGGGCTACCACACCATTCTGTAGACCACTTGGTAATTGTGAACCACTGACCTTTCAGTTGGTAGTTTTATCCTTAACTGCACCTTTAGTCCTTCCCTGGAAACAACCCAGTGCCACTCAGTTGTTACCTGCTCACAGCATCCCTCCGGTAGGTAACCGAACCTTGCAAGTGCCAATACAGATCCACTAGTATTTATTCTTCTGTGACTTCTAGTTTTATTTTTGGAATTTTTGACTTTCAGTATCTACATGTTTTTACTGACTTGTCAAAAATAGATTGTTTTTAAATTTTTTATTTTAAATTTATATTAATGAAAGTTCACAGAGACTTTAGATATCCTTCATTCATTGTTACACTTTTAGGAGGTTGATTCTTAATAAATTGAATTTATGCTTTTTTAAGTTAGGTTGCAGATGTAGTATTTTTGCACTTCTGTGTTCTGCACACCAGTTGATGAACTACTTAAAAGTAGTCAAAAGGCTAAGGTGAATGCCCTCCCTACTTGTACATCCTTAAGGCTTTTGAGACTTTTTATAAGCATAAAAGCATGTTGACTAGAGTCACAAGATGATGTTTATTTATCTTACTTGCTGCTGACCCTTACTTTACAAGACTATATCCATATCAGAAGTTTTGCGTCAGCAAGAGAATGGTTTCTGAGGTATGTCTGGTACACACATATTGACAAGGTAGGCCATTCTGACTTGCTGACTTAACATGCTGATATTTACTCATCCATATTTACTCACTATCCATCTTTGTTCGGTTGAACAAATCAACATTTACATAGGAAGGTTTTCCTTTTTCTTCCACAATGTGCACTTAATAGAGTTCTTTTTTAACAGTTTTGTTTGTTGCATTCTCTTGATTCAAGCAACTTTGATTTCGGTAGCTTAACCCCTACAAATAGTTTTCCAGTTTTTGTAATTTTTCAACAAAACTCAAATGCCATGTGTAAATGTGCCAAGCTAGTAGAAGGAAATGATACGGATTTTAAAGACAAAGCTCTCATTTAGTAATTTTTTTCAGTACTTCTGTTCCCCAATATGGTCTGACAGCTGTTTTAACAGGCTCTTTCCCTTTTACTTGTTTTAAAAATAACTGGTGTTTTATAGTGAAACCCAGAGAGGAAGTGAAAGTCTATCAGGAATCTTCAGACTAGCAGGATTCCTACAGGGAGTGGCTCTTTTTATTTGCCAGCTGAAGTCATCTGGTGGGTTTGAGCAGTGCCACCGGATTTCACAGAATTCGGTCACACAGAGCTAACACAACATCTCCAGTATTCATAACATAAAGGTTACCTGGCATTTATGATCCTTGAGAGCAGTTGAGAACATTTCATTTTTTAAAAACCAATTTGGGTACCCTTGTTGCTGTGGAGTTTAACTTGGGTTTAGCAACTCATTTTCTTAAAGGAGTTTCTTCACCATAACAATTATAAGAGCTTTTTATGGCATCCTTTAATTATGTTTGGGACTGTTGGTGGCCTTGCCTTTCAAATTAGATACCTGTTTTTTCTGTTCTGTGTGTCGCCAAAATATATTTTTTCTTTTTGGATAGAATCATATTGGTTTTCCATACATGCATTCATAGGCTTGCTTTATAACACTGCCATTGATTTTGTCAAGTCCTTGCTGTGTATGCCTCTCCCCTCCCTATATTGTGTACAACCCTTTGTATGTACAACCTTTCCCTTTCTATACCAGAAGTCTTCAGATTGTCTTGTGATAGGCAGCTTATGTTTCTTAACGGTTCCATTTTGTAGTTTTTCATTTTCATGAATTCTCTCATTCCTTAGTGTTGCAGAATACACCGTGTGACTGACTGTACCAGTTTCTTTAGCCAGTTGTTAGATGCTTGGGTTTTCAACTATTTTTAAATGCTGCTGCTCTTGTAAATATGGGCATATATCAGTTTGTGTTGCAGCTCTCACTTCTATGGGACATATACCTAGTAGTTCCCAACTTTATAAAGAAGGGCCGTAGTGGTTTCATTACCCTTTTAGTGTTTGTCAGTAGTTGTTTCAGGTGTAGTCCTTGAATATTTTTCCCAACTAATGTGATGTTTATTTCTTGTTACGTACCATCGAATCTGAACTCACTGATAGCTGACCTTCCAGTAAATCACACTGGAGTTGAAACATCATTCTGCAGAGCAGCTGGTAGATTCAAATCACCTGCCATTGGGTTGGCAACAGATCTCCTTTCCACTAGGCCACCAGACTTTCCCTGTTATGAGGGTGTGGGAGACCAGTGTTCCTTCAGGATCTAACTACACGTAATCACTTTTTATGCATAAACTGTGGTAGTGTTTTTATAAACTATGCATCTCATGCTTGTTTTCTTTGTGTGCATGGGCATTTCATATGCAAAAATATAAACAGCTTTCTTGTCACTGCTGCTTTTATCTTTGTGTCTCAGGACAGTGGTTTTGAGGTTCATCCAGCTGTAGAAAGCCTAGATCCTATTGAATTCATGACTAAGACGATTTCTTAGTAGCTGCCTTGAGAATTGTGCTCTTTTAAAAATCTAGTATGAAGTCACATTGACTATGAACAAGATTGCTTAGGGGGCAGCAAGTCTATATGGGTAGGATTAAAAATTGAAAAAGGATGGCATTGATGGTTGTGTAATTATAAGAATTCACTGAATTGTACATGTAGAAATTACTGAGTTGGTGTATGTTCTACCCTGTGATTTTCAACAGATGAAATTCTTTAAAGGTGACACACCTTTAATGAATGTAAGTGATTTTTGGAGACTTGTCTATGTACATTTTAATAAAAAGTAAAAATGTCTATTTTTGCAGTGTCTCTAAGCATGAATGTTACCTCTTGTTTAACCTAGTATACTATGCAGTCTCATTTTTTTCTTCCCCTTTTCTAGGTGGTCTTCGGGGAGTAGCACGTGGTGGTCTAGCAGGACTAACACTTACCAGCCTCTATGCTTTATATAATAACTGGGAGCACATGAAAGGCTCTTTGATCCAGCAGTCACTCTGAAGATTTTTAATAACTTGTGAAAAGAGGACACTTCGATGGTCATCCAAATTAGTTTATAAATAAATTAATCTAATCTGGAGTTGTTCTTCCTTCTACTTAAAAAGTTGGGAGATTCTGTTTTGCTGTGATGAAAACCAGCTAAACTCCTTTGAAGGCTCACCAAGACCATGGCTTAAACTGGAAAACCACTTACAGGCCATGTTTATTGTCAATACTTTACCACATATTAAAAACATCTACCTAAACAGTGAAAATTGCTCCTGACATTTTCCTCTATTGCATCTGTAATGCTGCAATAATAAACCCTGTAATTATGGAAAAAATAAAAAGGTAATGCAATCTTCTCATACAAGTGTTGACACTAAAACCTCAGGATATTTCAGATTAACCATTCTACAACTAAAGAGCCCTGGTGGAGTATAGCATTACACGTCAGCTAACTGAAAAGCAGGTGGTTCAAATACCAAGTCAGAATTGATGCAGTGACAAGGACTGGTTTTGGTGGCATAATCAGTTAAGGGTTGAGCAGCTAACCATAATGTTAGTAGTTTAAGTTGACCAAATGCTCTAAGGGACAAAGAGGAAGCAGTCAACTCACTTAAAACCTTGTAAACTCCCTGGAGAAGCACCATGTGTAGACAGCAACAGCAGTGGGTAACTCTATAATTAAGAATATGCTAGCTTCTCAAGTAAAGGGACAAGAGGTTTCCTCATTTAAATTAGTAAAACCACACTGCAGATTACAAATACTGAACTAAAATTTACTGTGCCTGGAAAACAATCTAGGGCCTTCTAGAGGGAAACAGGCAGAAAAGCTTTAAATTTTTTAAAAAAAAAAAAAAGATATTGCTATTATATGCCTTTGAGTCAGAACCAACTCAACTCAGCTGATCCTCCACTGGAAGAAAGTGCTCATCCTCCTTTGGTGAGTTCGAACCACTAAGCCTCCATTTCAGAGTGAAAAGGAATGGTGGTGCCACATTTGGTCCTAGGAACTACAAAACCAGAGAGGGCAAAATACATACTGTATACATACACACACACACACACGTGTATAATTTTAATACACTCTTTCTGCAAGAGAACGTATCCAAAGTGAAAAGGATGTGAAAACTGAAGTACTGTTTGCTAATTTAAGATTCACAAACTATACTAGTAACATCTTGTTCTAAACTGTGTGCCTAATCAGAGGCTACTGCATTTTATAAATACAGGCAACAACTACTCTTTTAATGGAGAGAAGTATAAAATGTAAGAGTATTTTACATTGTTAGCATAGTGGATAATTTAAGCTCGGGAGTACAGTTGTTACACCTCAAAAATGTTCTACTCGGCGAGCTCTGGTGGCCCAGGGGCAGGAAACTGCACTGCACATCCCAGAGGTGCGCGGTTCAAATCCACCAGATGCTCTGCTGAAAGAGGAGGAACAATCGCCTCCTGTACCAGTCAGATCCAATTTGATGGTACACACATAAAAAAAAAAAAAAGAATGCCTAGAACATTTTTTTAAAAATTTATTTTTTTCATTTTTACCTAATACCTCTGTAATAGTTGTTCTAAATGGTAAATGGGGAACTATGTATCAAGGGAAACATGCATGATTCTTCATCTGTGGGTCAGAGAAGTCCGTGAAGCTGTCAAGATTATGGTGTTTCCCCCTTGTGAAGAGGCCACACTGCAAACTTAAAAGTATTTCTTATATATGGGAAATTATGTGTCTTAATAGTTTAAAGCCTTGACAAGCGGGTAATACCACCAATTTTAGAGTCTTGGAAAACAAACATCGCTACAGAGCAACTCTGTTAGTACTGAAATGGCTTTTTTAAAGATGATTAAATTATCAATAGTTTTGTGAAAAACACCTCAAGGCACAAGTGTTCAAAACAGCTGGTTCATTAAATGTCATTGCATTATATTTTAAGTGTAGTGGAGGCAATATGCTTACAGTGAGAACATTTAATTCTTCCCTACTTAAAAGTACCAGATACCAACCTCAGCTATTTATCTACAGAGAATGCGCCAACAATCCCTTGGAAAGTATACAGTTCAAATACAGTATTTCCAACATATTTGCCTTTTGCTCTTTGATTGGTAAGCAATAGAAAAATGGAAGAAGCAAATTCTATCCTGAAAGAGGCCTACACCTCCAATGAATGTAATCTTGAAACAACAGAAGCCTTTCCAAAAGGGCTTACTGCATAATAACAGATCAATAAAGAATTTCTCACTGATTTTCTTTCAAATAAAATCGTGGTGGTAAGCTAACTATGCTTTCAAATTTCATAAGCTGCAAGATTAATACACACTTTGCTAAGAAAAACCAAGGTAAATTATTTGCATGAAAGATATATTAATGTATCTTACTTAAAACAGTTATTTCAGACAACCAATGGAAGAAAACACAGCAAAGAACCCTCGCACTGCTAATCAAAAGTCTTGGAAAGTTTATAACCTTTACAGCACAACACACTATAGAAATAATTCATTTTTAAAACTACAGTGCTTTTATTATACTTGAAGTAACAATTCAATTTAAGGAGTTGTAAAGGCTTGTGAAAAAAAGATGCTGTTTCTCTAATGTAGGAATAAATTATGTAATACTTCTGCAAGCAGGAATTGAATCTCCTCAATTTATCAGCCTTTTGTGTCTACATGTGAACTCATTATGTGATCACTTATTCTCTTCACTAGTTCAAAATTAAGACAGGAAAGGTTAGCTGGCTGATCACATTCAGAAACAAGGATTTGGCAAGGTGTGATCACTGCTGGGCTC